CCAACATTTTGACCCTTTAAACCCACGAAAGACCCAATTTTAAAGGGACGTATTCAGTAAACCTGCACAAAAGACAATGCTACTTGAACTAGCCATCAGAAGTTCATGAAAAACGAAAAATCAATGATGTTCAGTTTAGTAAAGTAGCAAATAGTCCTACTTATGAGAGAATATAAATCACTTAAGCAATTTGTACAACTTTAAACAGCTGTTTTAAGTAGATTAGTATCGTTATGGGCAAAAATCCCCCAAAATAGCCCAAAATTTGTCCAAAAATTCAAAATTTTCATGCTCAAGGCTGAATTATTTTGCCTATTTTGCTACATTTATCAGTGCAGTGACAAGAAGTCTTGTGGATAGCGCAACTTTTCCTGAACGTTTCTCTAATAAGATATTTTGATGACAAAATAACTACATTTAGTCTGGAATAAATTGTCACAAAATATAATGACCCCAGGGGTCAAGAGAACCCTATAAAATCAAAAGTGCTGAGGGGATTTGAGCAAAAATGTACATATCACTTCATAAAACCCCGAACTTTAAAATTCATATTGAATAAAATGCACATTCAGTCAACCATGACACTAATAGGGTCAATATAACCTACTTGAGATTTGTTTTGCTCATCGTATAGGAAAAGTAGTACTTAATACACTAGTTCGCTACTTTGTAGATGTATGGCACGTATATGTGTACATGTATTGGCAATTAATGTTTGGTGATAGCTAGTAGGAGTGTCAGGGACCGCTGACAGATTATTATTTTGAACCCAAAAATTGAATTACATTTTTGGCGGTCTCAGTAAATCAATGGGGTAATCAGGTCCTACGTGCTTTTTACAGGCCCAGAAATCAATGCTCGCTTATAAATGTAGCAAAATCTTTTTTCGTTCGTGGGATATTTTTTTCACCATATAACCGAACGGGACGTTTTTGAATAGGACTACATGATCTGAATGGATGTGAGGATTCGATGGGCTGGGATTTGAGAAATTATGATTTGAACTTTGCCAATTTTACATGTATTCCAATGGGTGAAAAAGTAAGTTGCTTTCTACCTAATATCAACCACATTTATTAGTGAATTTCGAGAAATATGTCGAATTTAGCCATATTTCGCATATCTTTCTATGGAACCATTTAAAGTTTTGCAAATTAACCCCTAAAATTCTGGAGACGACGATCTGAATTTTGCTGAGTCAGCAATTTTCGTTTTTTCATTGAAAACAGTACTTTTCAGCCTAAATTGCTACATTTCTGCTCTCTTATCAAGTAATTTGATGCAGTTCTTGCCAAATTAAAGGAAACACACCCCAAACGTTCCAAAGTGTGCGAAGTTCCAACATTTTGACCCTTTAAACCCACGAAAGACCCAATTTTAAAGGGACGTATTCAGTAAACCTGCACAAAAGACAATGCTACTTGAACTAGCCATCAGAAGTTCATGAAAAACGAAAAATCAATGATGTTCAGTTTAGTAAAGTAGCAAATAGTCCTACTTATGAGAGAATATAAATCACTTAAGCAATTTGTACAACTTTAAACAGCTGTTTTAAGTAGATTAGTATCGTTATGGGCAAAAATCCCCCAAAATAGCCCAAAATTTGTCCAAAAATTCAAAATTTTCATGCTCAAGGCTGAATTATTTTGCCTATTTTGCTACATTTATCAGTGCAGTGACAAGAAGTCTTGTGGATAGCGCAACTTTTCCTGAACGTTTCTCTAATAAGATATTTTGATGACAAAATAACTACATTTAGTCTGGAATAAATTGTCACAAAATATAATGACCCCAGGGGTCAAGAGAACCCTATAAAATCAAAAGTGCTGAGGGGATTTGAGCAAAAATGTACATATCACTTCATAAAACCCCGAACTTTAAAATTCATATTGAATAAAATGCACATTCAGTCAACCATGACACTAATAGGGTCAATATAACCTACTTGAGATTTGTTTTGCTCATCGTATAGGAAAAGTAGTACTTAATACACTAGTTCGCTACTTTGTAGATGTATGGCACGTATATGTGTACATGTATTGGCAATTAATGTTTGGTGATAGCTAGTAGGAGTGTCAGGGACCGCTGACAGATTATTATTTTGAACCCAAAAATTGAATTACATTTTTGGCGGTCTCAGTAAATCAATGGGGTAATCAGGTCCTACGTGCTTTTTACAGGCCCAGAAATCAATGCTCGCTTATAAATGTAGCAAAATCTTTTTTCGTTCGTGGGATATTTTTTTCACCATATAACCGAACGGGACGTTTTTGAATAGGACTACATGATCTGAATGGATGTGAGGATTCGATGGGCTGGGATTTGAGAAATTATGATTTGAACTTTGCCAATTTTACATGTATTCCAATGGGTGAAAAAGTAAGTTGCTTTCTACCTAATATCAACCACATTTATTAGTGAATTTCGAGAAATATGTCGAATTTAGCCATATTTCGCATATCTTTCTATGGAACCATTTAAAGTTTTGCAAATTAACCCCTAAAATTCTGGAGACGACGATCTGAATTTTGCTGAGTCAGCAATTTTCGTTTTTTCATTGAAAACAGTACTTTTCAGCCTAAATTGCTACATTTCTGCTCTCTTATCAAGTAATTTGATGCAGTTCTTGCCAAATTAAAGGAAACACACCCCAAACGTTCCAAAGTGTGCGAAGTTCCAACATTTTGACCCTTTAAACCCACGAAAGACCCAATTTTAAAGGGACGTATTCAGTAAACCTGCACAAAAGACAATGCTACTTGAACTAGCCATCAGAAGTTCATGAAAAACGAAAAATCAATGATGTTCAGTTTAGTAAAGTAGCAAATAGTCCTACTTATGAGAGAATATAAATCACTTAAGCAATTTGTACAACTTTAAACAGCTGTTTTAAGTAGATTAGTATCGTTATGGGCAAAAATCCCCCAAAATAGCCCAAAATTTGTCCAAAAATTCAAAATTTTCATGCTCAAGGCTGAATTATTTTGCCTATTTTGCTACATTTATCAGTGCAGTGACAAGAAGTCTTGTGGATAGCGCAACTTTTCCTGAACGTTTCTCTAATAAGATATTTTGATGACAAAATAACTACATTTAGTCTGGAATAAATTGTCACAAAATATAATGACCCCAGGGGTCAAGAGAACCCTATAAAATCAAAAGTGCTGAGGGGATTTGAGCAAAAATGTACATATCACTTCATAAAACCCCGAACTTTAAAATTCATATTGAATAAAATGCACATTCAGTCAACCATGACACTAATAGGGTCAATATAACCTACTTGAGATTTGTTTTGCTCATCGTATAGGAAAAGTAGTACTTAATACACTAGTTCGCTACTTTGTAGATGTATGGCACGTATATGTGTACATGTATTGGCAATTAATGTTTGGTGATAGCTAGTAGGAGTGTCAGGGACCGCTGACAGATTATTATTTTGAACCCAAAAATTGAATTACATTTTTGGCGGTCTCAGTAAATCAATGGGGTAATCAGGTCCTACGTGCTTTTTACAGGCCCAGAAATCAATGCTCGCTTATAAATGTAGCAAAATCTTTTTTCGTTCGTGGGATATTTTTTTCACCATATAACCGAACGGGACGTTTTTGAATAGGACTACATGATCTGAATGGATGTGAGGATTCGATGGGCTGGGATTTGAGAAATTATGATTTGAACTTTGCCAATTTTACATGTATTCCAATGGGTGAAAAAGTAAGTTGCTTTCTACCATCACGGGGCTTTAAAAATTATAAGAAATACCGAAATGAGAAAATGATCGGTAGGAAGGAGGCTCGATTGCGCTGAACGAAATGTTAGATTTCCGGAATTAGCAAAATTATAAATTTGATCAATCACGTATTTTCACGTATAGGGATCAATTTAACCAAGTACCAAGCGGGGATTTTGCATGTGAAACAAACGTGCGTCAGAAAGACTCGGTAGACAATGAATATTTGCGTCAGAGTTGCAAAAATGTGAGTAAAAAACGTAAAAAATTGCGTTAACGCCACCTCTGGTTCTATTCAATTACATGTTAAACTTTCAACTACGGGTTCAACTATAGGTTCAATTCAATTACATGTAAAGCTCTCAACTACAGGTTCAACTATAGCTTCAATTACTTGTAAAACTTTCAACTACAGGTTAAATTTTCTACTATATACAGCTTTAACTACAGGTTCATGGATGCAGTTTTAGAATATGAAAATATGATTAACTCGAGAAGTTGGTTTCCAAAAGAAAATCTGCCATTTCATAGTTTATTTGGTTAGGGCTCCTTAATGCTAAAAACTGTCAGAAATGTAAAATAATTAAAGTAGAATGAAATAAAAAACATCTAACCAGGTGAATTAAGGAGCATAAGTAAGTCCCTCTATTTTCTCTAAAATGTACTACATTTCATGTTATTTCATCATTTTCATGTAACCACAATTCCCCATACTTAAACACAGTGGGAAAAACATGGCAGAGTCATGTAAAACCAAGACAAGAGTTACATGATTTTGCCACATTGTTCATGTTCTGCCACAGTTTGCCCCGTGTAAAAGTGGAGTAAAATCAAGAGTGCCATCTCTTGTTTTTACAACAACATGCCACGCCACACATGGGGCAAAATGAAGTGAACTAAAGTGAATTAAAGTAAGAACATGTGCCCTCTTTCGCCACGCATGTAAAAACATGGGTTTTTTCCTAAGGGTGAGCATAATAGGTATTTACCTTAACTAACAAAATTCTTACTTTACATCATCCTTATTTTAATTTATTTATAATACAAAATGTACAACATACAGTATGAATGTTACAAGAGATGAGCATTTGCTTGAATTCAGTCATCCTTAACTCTTAGCATTCCATTTCTAGACCATTTCACTGGATTTGAACTTGTGGTCAGCTATTTTTCCATGACATGTAGATGGAATGGAAAAACCAAACTTAACAAGTATACTCAATGGCAGTCTAGAACATCTTTTCATTTTACTCATTTAAATACATAAGAGGGGGAAATAATCCACAATTCAAAGATGAACTTAATTCATGTAAAATGACCCTAAAGGTGATCCTGTCTTCATGTAGAGATAACCATAGTCATTAAGCTAGGTTCATCTTTGAATTCTGGGTAAGAGCATTCTCTGGCTCTATTATTTATACCAGGATGCATGCCAACAGGAAGTGTTCAAGAATACCAGTTAAACTTCTTCAAACAGAGAGGCTAGAAAATTCCTTCACTCAGTATTTGAAGAGCTACTGTATCCTTGCTGTTTCCCTCCATAAGATATTAAGGAAGTCATGTATATAGTTAATGAGAGTTCGCAATTCTCCGATGACCACTTGAGCTCTTCAATTAGGAGGGGTGTAGAATTCCAAATCCTATACTAGAACATATAGTTTAGCGGGTGCAGTGTATTGAGGCTTCAAATTTCCTAGATATATATCCAAAATATGATACACTACCCAGTATCATAAAAGTTTTAAATGTCCTGTTACTTTGTTTATAAGTTCTTCTGGACCTGGAAAAATAAAGCATAAATAGTAAGTAGACTTAAATATTTTATTAAGCACAGAGGTCACATACATTGAACAGTGCCCTATCACCCACGTAAGTTAATTACAGTACCCAGTACATGTATTGAAAAATGCTTAAAATTGGTAAAAATATCTTAATTTTGAATGCAAATTAATATGAAACTCAGAACCAACCCACAACTTCCATTTGGCAAATTCCTGATTTATCCCAGAGTTTTTGATATCCTATAATTCCCTTATAATTTCAGCGATTAAGTGAACAAATTTAAAATCCTAGATTTTTCCAGGTGTGGAAGTTAATAACTTACCTGGTCCAACTCCTAGCGTAGTAGTAGACCCTGGAGCTATTTGTGTCCTACCAGCATCCTTTATTATGCTATAGTTAAGTCCTAGTGCCCTTGCTTGCTTTAATAATTCAATACTGGAACAAAATCAAATACAAATCTGTTACTCAAAAACGTGAAAATTTTTAAGTACTGAAGTTAAAACTGCCAAGTACCGCAGTTAAAACTGTAAAGTACCGCAGTTAAAACTGCCAAGTACCTCAGTGTGGTGCAAAAGGTATTTCAATTACACACGTTTTACTGTATTAATGGTAGACGGCTGTAGAGCAAATAATGCGCCCACTTTGACTTCTTAAAAATTGACTGATTAGTAATTCTCATTCAAGTTTGTTTGAAATTTAAAAATATTGATTGACAAATGAAAGTCTAACTGCAGCAATCTTAAAGGCCCGGTTGTTTGAGAATAACATCGAACGCAAATTCCTTTATCCAAAAACAAAATGTCCATCAAACCCCCCCCCCCCCTTGGCAATACATGTATTTTGAAAGCAATTTCAATAAAGAGCCCACGGGCCAAATAATGACTCCTGTAGGCCTTAAGTCAAGAAACACTCTGGAATGGCACATTCTGCCTACTGGATGTACCAATATCATATGGGCCAATCAGATTGCTAGAAATCACACTTTCTTGAAGTAATTTTCAATACTGTACTTACAGCCCTTCTTCACTATCAATTTTTGTGACAACTTTAGGCTGTCCCATCATAACCCATTGTTCACACAAGACAGGGTTTTTCATGGCTAACTTCATATAAGCTCCAACTGCTGCATGTGAACACTGGAAATAAAGAGATATTTATTTTTAGTCTCTTTAGACTCATTTAAAATTTGGAAAAGCCAGCTGGTCCTATATCTCAGTGGTAGAGCAATCGCTTTATAGCGAGGGGACGTTGGTTCGATCCCCACTGGGGTGGACTGACTTTTTCACATCAGCCCTTAGCACAGGATTTCATACTATGTTTTCATTAACTAATTTCTCAATTTGATTTGAGGCACAGTTATAACTGGCTTGTTTTTCACTTTCTAAGTGTGAATCATAGTCAACAGGGGATATGATAAATTAGAATGTTTACGATACATTGTAGAAGATAAGATTATATATTTTTCACTCTGTTTTATTCGTTCTTAAACCCTAGAGGAAAAACTCACATATGTAGCAGGCTTGTAGCCAGTCCCTCCCCCCCCCCCCTCCCTGGCCAAAAATTCTTTTAACATCTTGCAGTTTTTCACCATTCTGAGAATTTTTTAAGTGGTTTTTGCCATTTTAAGACCAAAATTGTCAAAAGTGAACCCCCTTGGAATTTTCCAAAAAGTGAACCCCCCTTGGCAAATCCTGGCTACGGGCCTGTGTAGTGACTTTTGATCAACAGAATGACAAAGCTCATGCACCACATATATTATAAATGAATTTATCTTACTTGTGCTGCCATCTTTCCTTTCCCCATTTTTAGATCTGATCTGATGACCATTACAAGTTTCAATTCTCCACTATCACTTGGCATCGGCATCTGAAGTAAATACATTTAATGATGTCATTATAGTGTACTGCATTATAGCAAAACAGAAAATATAACTATCTGTAATATGTCCTTATCTGAGTATTGCTACAAGGGCATCAGAAATTACACATAAATTAAAACATATCAGTGGCGGATCCAGGAACCAACAAGGGGGGGGGGCCAAAATTTCCGGTCAGAGAAAAAAACTTCAAATCTAAAACCAAAAAGTGGGCCCAAATTTTGAGGCCCATTTTCTTCAAAATTTAGCCTGAAATTAAAAAATAAGGCCTTAGAAGGCCTGGTAATGACCCCATGCCCCCCCCGGATCCGCCACTGCATATATTATGTGGACTGAAAAGGGAGATTCTCTGAATGTTCATTGTCAGTGTTCTTCCTAACATGCAGGCCTGTAGGCAGGATTTGTCAAGGGGGTTCAGTTTTCAAAAATTTCCAGGGGGGTTCACATTTGACAAAATGGTGAAAAACTGTATGATTTTGAAAGAATTTTTGGCCGGGGGGGGGGGGGGGGGGGGTTCGCAGGGTTCGGGCCTAACATGTACCTATTGATCTTGACAAAAACAGGTCAAATTAAGATTTACCTTACAGGCTAGCACCTTACCATGTTCAGTAAAAAAAACTGAAGAGTGGAGACTTAAGTCTACTGTTTGAGCATGGTAAATTTTCTATTTTATGAAGTAGCGTTAGAAATTTCCGGAGATAAGTTCAATTTTTAAAGTTCATATGGAAATTTTAAATGCTACTACTTCGTAAATTTCTTATTTCTCACTAGAAAATCTCCACTCAGGGACAAAGACAACTCCTAATCTAAAGAGAAGCAGCTGATAACTTATTTACCTTCATAAATGGAGGATGGAGATGTAGGACATTTAAAGATAATATACTAAATAAAGGACTCTTGATTGGTCGTTATTTGTGTTGTCGCGATGTGCCATAATCGTACATCGATGCATCGGCAATTTTCAGTAGTAAACATCGATGCACATCGCGATGTACATCGAGAAAAAGTCTGAGAAAAGTGCATTGAAATACCGAACGCTAATGCACTAAAATACCGAACAGATCAAATCAAAAAGAGTACGCTGGTACATCCGGGAACTTCTAGTAACGGTGAAATGAAAGTAAAGTAAATTTTTTTAGATTAATGGTTCATTTCAACAAGTTAAAACAGTTTTAAAGCGAAAGAATATCAGAAAACATTGGAAAATGAAATAAGACATGAGGAATGTAAGCGATTTGCGTCAATATAAGATAAAAAAGGGTGATTTTTAGCAAATTAAATTTTTTTAAAAACATCGATGTTTTGTTTCAGCATGGGCTTTCAATCTAATTGAAAGCCCATGGTTTCAGACATCGATGCATCGCCCGAATCAGCTTTGACGATATAGTCATTGGATTGGTTATTTGAAATCAAATCTCAAATCTAATAACAACAAAGAGTGAGTCCCGTAACAGGCCCGTAGTTCGAGCAAACCCCCCCCCCAACCCTTCAAAAAGTGACCCACATGGCAAATCCTGAACAAGCTTATGTCCCGGAAGTGGTCCATATTCTCCAATGTTCAATTGATGCATACCTCATTTTCATTAGAAGCTCCTCTACAAGCTTCTTCTTTCACTTTCCTGGAAGCTCTTCCTGACATTCTGTAAAAATTTCTCATAATTTTTGGCCCAAGTACCATTCCAAAACAAAGTCCTATACCAACACCTATGGCTACGCCATATGCCGTCTTCGAATCCGTGGGTAACATAACTTTAACACCATGTAATGAAACTTTGATTAGACTTCAATTTCTCATGTAAACAGAGAAATTGCAATAAGTTGTGAAATTTTGTATTTTTCATGCGGGAACATCCGGAAGTGGAAGTCTGGACGGAGCATGCGCATTAAAGGCGCGCGATTTTGACCTACATTTGAAATTTTATATTTTATTGCAAATATCGTCGATACCTAGTGCCAATATGAGTCTTTTTGATCAGATTAAGCTTCTACACGAATCAGAGCTTTACGATGATGTCAAATTGGTGGTGAGTTGTATCACATTCTTTTGATATCAAGCATTTTTCAAAATTTGTAATTTCAAAAAAATATTTTAAATTTGTGGGTGATAATAGAGTACCTGTACCTGTCAACAAGGATCATATATATCTTGATTTTCTAGATTTGGCAGTTATACAAGCTCGAGATAACACCATAAATGTTCATCATATTCTAACCTTCTTCTAAGGTCACTATATCGTTGCCTTCGTCCAAAGATAAATCCCTGCATATTTTTTACTCTGCCAGATGTGAATCATGTCGCTGTATATGGCCCTGGGTCATGTCGTAATCATAAAATTTGAAATCGAATGTTCGCCAGTTTTCCACATCACCATTTGAATTGCGAGTTTTGGTTTTATCTACCTTACCAAAAATTCCAAAACAAACATGAAGTGATCAATGTGTTCCAGATGGAATTACTTCTAGCCAATTCTAGAGACTAAACTATGTAGAGTTCAGTATTGCAGGCCAACTGTCTCGCAATTTGCGTATTTGTCACGTATTTGCTGATGAAATTGAAGTCAAGCCCATATATGTCACGCGAATACGAAATCGGAATTTCTTCAGATTATTCCCAAGCAAAAATATTTCGGACTGTTATTTTTAACTAGATGGGAATCGAAAAAGCATTAACAATATCACGGATATATATTTTTCACAGGGGAATATTGTTCTTACAATATGTGAGCATAATCCAGAGTTCATGTCGATGCCTATGAGGTTCCAACTGATGGTGTACTATGGAAATTCTCTCTACCACACAGAGGAATTTAAAAAAGCAGAGGTACAGTATAGAAAATGCACTAATGGGATATCAGATTTTTTGGCATTTCTAGAGTATGACATAATATCATAGCAGGGGTTTCATTAGCTGCAGCAGGCAATATGCGATTTTCACCAGTTGTTTTCACAAAACCACCTGTTGTTTTCAAGGAATTTTCAATTTTTCCATGTTAAATTTATGATTTCCATTAATTTTGCCTGTTGTTTTCATTTATTCAGCCTGTTGTGAGAAATTCTAGTGAAACCCCTGCTCAGTATGATCCAGGATCAGGAGTTTTATTCAAATTTCTGGAAACAAATGAAAATAACAGAGAATATTTTACTTGAAATCAAAATTAAAATGGTTGCAGAATCTCTCAAAACAACAGACAGGCTAAAATTTATGTTTAAAAATAATTGTGATTGTCTTCATGTCAACTTACTATAAGTTATTGAATAATCGACTTCGTCTCGTTCCAATACAGAATTTCTCGAGCAGAATATATCCCGTATTGCACTTCAAATTATTCTATAACGTTTTTATCGTGTGATCCTCTGTATTGCTACTGAGAATGCCCCCCCCCCGTACCAATATTTTCTGTATTGCGAAGAAGATGATCAATGGAAACAATCTCAGTAGCAATACAGATTGGTACAGCACATGACCTGACCAATCAGAAGGCTTCATTTTACAGATCATACAATAAATATGTATACATGAACATATCTGATGCATTATATTGAAACCGTATCCTCTCCTATTTTGATCAGCTTCCACATGCATTTTAATTACATTTTTACTGATATTATATATTTGTTGTAGAATGTGTATCGCAAGGCACTTCAAACTAAAAAAGTGTTGAACAAAACAAAGTCAACAAAATGTACAGTAAGTGGATTTATTCATTTGTATCCAGGAGCCTGTTTTGAAATTATCTTATGTACATATATGTGAATTATGTATGTACTTGTATGTGAAATATGTTCATTTGGGTGATATTCCAAAGTTACAAAATGTGTGGAAAGAGATTATGATGTAGCATATTTGCAGTATTTTCACAACTGTACAATATTTAATTGCTATATACTTGAACTCTAATTTGTTTACATGGAATATCCATTTTTCATACCTTTAATAAAAAAAGTAACTAGTAAAAATCAAATTTCTGATACAGAAGGTAAAAAGCATGAAAATTAATTTCAAAATTGACTTAGAATTGCAAAAGCGAAATATTCCAAAATCAATCATTGATTGTATATACTACAATCCGTGATAATAAATCAGTTTAAATTAAAACATATTAAACATGATAAAATATCAAGATGGCAATTGTTCCTTATATCTAACATAAGCCCCTGACATTAACATTTAAGCACACCCTTGGGTGCTATGATATGCCTTAGGCAAGTGGCTATTAGTAACTTTAGGCTCAAATATAGCCTAAACTATATTGCTGTTCTGCTCAAAGGTGTGAAATTATTCACACTGTGTTTTTTTATTTTATTAAGAGTATTTGTTCTTTATTTAGGACCTGCCCTCTGAAGTTGATGTGAAGTACAAGATACACCAATGTCTGTATAATCTCAAACAATACAAAGAAGCTATCAACATGGTAAGTTTACAATTTAGCTCAAACAATACAAAAAACTATCAATATTGTAAGTTTACAATTTAGTACAAGATACATCAATGTCCATACAATCTCAAACAATACAAAAAAGCAATTAATATTGTTATTTTGCAATTTAGTACAACATACACCAATGTTTGTACAATTTCAAACAATACAAAAAAGCTATCAATATTGTAAGTTTGTGATTAAGCACAAGATACACCAATGTCTGTATAATCTCAAACAATACAAAGTAGTTACATTGCTTAAAGTCTTCAAAAAATTGTTTCAAATTTCAGAATATTTTTGACTCATGCCTATTTTCCAAAAATTCCCAAAGTGCATACTTTATTTAAAAGCCCCATGTAGAATTTAAACCACTGTGGCTAATCTTGTAGTCTCATATTTGTTATAATTATATGACCACCCTCCAAGCAGAAAGCTGAATGTCTTATAGTACGGTGTTATTTATGCATTCAAGAATATTCACACATAGTCATAGGCAAGGTGTGTAGATCACACTATTTCACGTAACTGCATTCTGTAATATAACCAATAATGCATTTGTCGTATGGCTCTCAAGGTGATAACTGGACTCACAGATTGAAATTGATGCTTTGCCAACTTGACCCTTGCAAAAAGTTTTATTGAAAATATGTTTTTTAGTGATTTTGTATCTTTTAGGTGATTTTGCAGAATATATTGCGCAATGTATGAAAGGAATTTAAGCCCAAAACTCAATGCATGTGGCTGCTTCATTTAACTCAGGTATTGTTTCCTAAACTTTACATAATTGCTACACGGTCATGCAACGATTTGGACACACCTTCAATAGAATGCTTCAGCATACAATGTACTGAGGCGAGGGCTTAAATCCTTAAATCAAAGCATGTCTCATCTGCTATAGCGTTTATTTTCCACTTTCTCTGTCTTTGACAATAATGTTGAATGGGCCAGGTTGAATTGAGATTCCGTAGGTGAATTTGGTTGGGTCAGGATCTGGTGGGTTGTTTTTATCTTCAGGGAAAATCTCCAGTTTTTGTAGTAGACTAGTGACAAACAGGAACATTCTCACTTTGGCCATTGCTTCTCCTAAACACTCTCGCTTACCAACTCCAAATGGTAGAAATCTATTGAGAAAGTAGTTAGGGCAACATTAAAACACAATACAAGCCATGCCTCATATTTTTGTTGTAAAGCAAATAAAATGTAGAAACTCATATGGAATCATCAGAAAAATGGTAGAATTTATAGTGCACTAATTCTGTAATAAATACATGTAACATTCCAATACAATTCTCTCTAAACAAATTTTATTGTTGTAAACCCCAAACAACTGTAGAAACCCATGAAAACTCATTAGAAAATGGTGGATATTGTACTGCACAAACACTACTGTAATATATACATGTATGACTTACGATTTTCTCTCATTTCCTGGAAGCAAGTTACCTTCTTCATCTAAGAATCTTTCCACTTTGAACTCATATGGCTCATCAAAGTACTTCTCATCATGATGTAATGCCCAGATGTTCATCCAAACCTTGTCAAAAAGTAGAATATTGTAACATGGGTCATTTGGCGCATGGTTTATATTGGCGAATTCAAGATGAATCCCCAGGGTATTTGATCTGTATGGTACCATGAACTCAAGTGGAGTTCATCTTCAGGTAAAAAATCATGTCTGTTGTATATTAGTTGAGAAAAACAAAACAAATCTAATTACTCATCGCCTCAAAGGTTGGGATTTAAAAAAAAAATTATTTATAGTTTATTTTATTTTCACAAAAAAACAATAATTAATACAATGTCATTTGGCTTGGCTCAAAGAGCATTATAAGCCAAGTAAAACCTTGTAATCAAGGTAACATGTTTAAAGATTCACTCAACAGGGGCCTGGATTGGGATTGAGAAGAAGAGAGAAAATATTACAGACATGATAGCTAATATTTAACTTTTATCAAGTAACATTCAAAATAAAAGTATATGTACTCATGAGGCCACACAAAATGCTGTCTGTTTCTAAAAAAAGTAATAAACAATTAGAGAGCCGCCAAATGTCAAAAAATGAAAAAATTGCTAATTCAGTTATACGAAGCAGCATCTTCATCCAAACCATGTCAAATAATTAATAATGTCGACAACTTTTTGTGTACATCGATATATTTGACACTCTCCCTTAACTTCTTGAAAGATATTTGTTGTAAAGTAATGCAAATAGAAATGACACAATTTACTTACAAACCAGGTTATCAAATATGTGATAAAAATTTTCAAGTGTTAGTCCATTTGTCACTTTCTTGACGATGAATATTTAAAAACATGATGTTTTTCTGTGCAAATACTATCATTAGGGAATATTGGAGTGATTTAGCTGGGTTGCCAAAAAATTAACGTTGGGGAAAATTTTTGTATCTATCACCATGGTAACGTACCAGGTACATGGTGGTATCCCAACGCTAAGTCAATAGTCAACGCCATGTTAAACCATGCACCCCTCCCTAATTAGCCGATATACTTTTTTCCCCAAACTAACTTTTTGTCCAACCCAGTTAAATCACTTCAGAAAACCCTTGTTATTATAAATTAAACATAAAACATCGTGTTTTTTACAATTCATAGGTTCACTATAGTATGTATAGGGGTGACAAATGGACTATGTTGTTTGTGAACAATTTGAATGTCATAACACTCAAGGGACAACCATTGAAAAACTAAAGGATATTTTGAAAATGGAAAGATGGAAAATAGGACACTGACTGAAAAACAAAGAGCATAATTGTAGATCATTTTGAAAATGGAAAGGTGGAAAATAGGACACTGACTGAAAAACAAAGAGCATAATTGTAGATCATTTTGAAAATGGAAAGGTGGAAAATAGGACACTGACTGAAAAACAAAGAGCATAATTGTAGATCATTTTGAAAATGGAAAGATGGAAAATAGGACACTGACTGAAAAACAAAGAGCATAATTGTAGATCATTTTGAAAATGGAAAGGTGGAAAATAGGACACTGACTGAAAAACAAAGAGCATAATTGTAGATCATTTTGAAAATGGAAAGATGGAAAATAGGACACTGACTGAAAAACAAAGAGCATAATTGTAGATCATTTTGAAAATGGAAAGGTGGAAAATAGGACACTGACTGAAAAACAAAGAGCATAATTGTAGATCAACACATAAAATACAACTAATCCTTTTATCAATTCTGGTATTAACCATCTCATGTCTCAAATCAAAATATGTCAAGTGATCAAGCCCATGATGACTTGTGTGATTTCATTCATGTATTGTATATACATGTATTTGTTTCAATTAGCAGAAGAAAAACATTATTAAATAAATAAAAATGAAGACCTTCATTTTATTTTATTTAATGTCATTTTTGTTATTCTTACCTGTGTGCCATATGGAACTTTGTAGCCCCCCACGCTAGTATCACAAAGGGTTTTATGTGCGATTGACAATGTAGTAGTCGTAGAGTAGCGTAGAATTTCTAAAATGGCAGCTTCTGTATAGTGCATGTTATGCCTATCCGCAAAAGTTGGTAGGCGACCATCACCAATGACATCATCAATTTCAGCTTGTATATTTTTCTGGACATCAGGATGGTTGACGAGAATCATCAGAAAAGATTTTAAAGTTGATGATGTTGTTATGATACCTAATGTTGGAAAATGCAAATGCAATTCAATGTTCTATTTAATATGTGCCTCAGGTGTCCAGAATCTGTACCTCCTTCTTCCCCCTGCTATAAACACTTCAAATTGCAGTAACATAAAAGCATACCTGAGCAGGAGGTACATGTATATAAGAGATAATTTGATTAGCTGTCTCAATGATGCAACAGCAAATCAAATTGCAAGTTCTTAAACGGGGAATCCTAACTGCTTATCCCAGGGGGAGGAGAAAGAAGATATTCTGGATCTTGAAGCCCTGAGATCAGAGAATGTAAAGACCTGAGCCACTGTTTTCTTGAAAATTGAATGTTAGTTAGCCTATTATACCCTAGAATAAACCAAGAATGTTTAAAGGAAAATGAAATCAGATGATCAAAATTTTCATTCTATTGACCACAAAGCCAGAAGAACAAGTCGAATTCACTGAGAATCCAATAATTGAAATATATAAGAAATAATTACCAGCTACAAGAAGATCGAACAGAGCTCCGTGTATTTCATCTTGGCTGATTTCTCCTTGTTTGTAATGCTGGTGAAAAACTTCACACACACTTCTACTTCTAGTCTCATCACTGTGCAAACTAAGCTGTAAAATAAAATGAACATGTCTTATATGTAATGCTTGTGCAAAACTTAAAGTTGTACCCAAACCATTTTATTTGACTTATAGATATACATTGTATTTATCTTACTGTATGGAAGGCCATTCTTTACGAAGATAAGCCATCAACACTTCCTCATGATACCAGGGACTGATTTCATTTTCAGAGCAGAAATTTTATGTCACATGACAGGACGTTTGTGATTGAAACAATTTCCTGCGAAATACAATTTTGTAAATAATAATGAAATCCTCTTATGTTGAGCCAATTATTGCATGGTTGAGGCTACTCTTATCAATTTTTTGCAAAGGGTATAATATCACTTGCAATTAAGTGCAGAATCAATCGGGCTGAAATGCTATTGAAATCAGTTCTACCACAAAAACAGACACGTGCTGACTTTATATCCCTGATATCATGATAAAATGAATTTTTGGAATTGTTGATGGTTCACCATCGTAATAGGTAATAAGCTAGCACCCAAAAATGTATTAGTTCGTGAACAAATTGAAATTACTTGTTTCTTATGTATTTTTATGTGATACTTCAGAAAATGTTTGTCTGACGCGCCGTATCCGGGGCGAAAGTTGTCAAATTGGCGTTTTCGACCCTAAAATGGAAAATTACAGGGGGTACTTTATCATCACTCGATAAATCATTCTGTTAGTCTTCAATCATCATAATAATTTTATGGGGAGTTGATTGGATCATGCTGAGGTAGTATGTAAAATTTCAATGCTCTGTCACTCATGGTTGTCATGGAAACCACAATTTTCGTTCAAAATATCCTTAATTTTGCAAAACCTGAACATGTACATCATGTAGAATATGGATTATTTTTCGAATCAATACATATCAGCACATTTTAGCACACTCAAAATAACCAGTACAGTTCAAACATTTGTTTAAATATAAAGGATATTGCAATTTACATGATTGGTCAGTGTCAAAGAACATACAATTACATGAGTGATCAAAAGTGGGCGTCGCCCCCATAATAGTAGTTGATTGCTATACTCTATAAAAACAGAGTTTAACTTGACTTTTGAGATACATTTACACTAGACTTATTTGATTATATTTTATATCAAGCATTTCTGGTAAATAATGTACATCTAAGTGTCATAGTTATTGCATGAGGGGGGGGGGTACAGAGGGGGCTAGTAAAAGAATTGGGAGGAGGCAGAGCTAATCAGCCTTAAGTATCTATCTCATCTGGATTTCATGGGGTACATCTTCTGCATGGGTCTTCTTCATATTCATCTCAGTATATGGGATATTACAACTTACATGATTGGTCAGTGTCAAAGAACATACAATTACACAAGTAATCAAAAGTGGGCGTCGCCCCCATACTAGAGTAGATGATTGCTATTCTCTATAAAAAACAGAGTTAAACTTGACTTGAGATACATTTACATTGGACTTCTTTGATTATACTTTATATTTTCTGGTAAATAATGTACAACTCAGTGCAATGGTTATTGCATGAGGAGGGGTGAGGTTAGTAACAGAATTGGGAGGGGGCAGAGTTAATCAGCCTTAGGAATAAATTCTTTCTTTTGGACTTCTTCATAGAGTATTTTCTGGGTCTTCTTAGTTATCTCAATATACTGTATATAGTTATTGTATGGGATGGGGGTAGTAACAGAATTGGGAGGGGTGGGGGGAACAAGTCAGCATTAAGTATCAATTTCATCTTCAGAGTTCTGGATTTCATAAGATACATCTTCTGGAGTCTTTCTGATTCATCTCCTGGTGCTATATCAACAATCATTTGTCTGAGAATACCAGTCAATACCCAATGCAATGGTGGAGTCATTCAGTTTCCATCCATGTTCATCTTCTGCTGGAATGTCAGGGTTTACAATATGGGCCATATGCACGATAAGTGCTTTGTAGTAAGCTCTTGACAAGGTGGAAGAAGACTGATGTCGGTTCATTCACAGTCTTTGATTGTTTTATGGGGTCTAAACTTCTATTTCAATTGGTTTATGTGGTTTTGCTGGTGTAAGACATTGTGGCTTAACATAAATGTTTTTTTATTATATTAATCAGTCTTCTTTTGTTTGCAGTCCAGCACTACACTTTGCTGTATTCTGTGCTTATCCTAACACATTGATTGCAGGACTTATAAATGAAAGATATGTAGTCTTTAAAATGCACATGAGAGATGGATTGAAAATGTGTTTATTCGTTGTGACAATATTACTCTTTGGGCCCATATGGGCCCTAAGGAAATATCATACTAAATTTCATGGATTCTCTGATGGGTTGTTTTGTTTCTGGAGCTGGCAGAAAATACATGTTTTTCAAGATACTTCTAACAGCAGAGTGATTATGTGATAATGAAATCCAAAATTCTATAAACGAACCTGATAGGAGAAGAAGTGGGTGGTGGCACATCACCTTATCAAATGTAGAAATACATGAGTCCCTTAAGATTGGAATGAGTTCATGAATAAGGATGCAAACAAGAAGCAACTATACCAGTTACACTTAATTGAATAAGACCAGAATATGCCAAGAAAAAATCTACTGTGTAGCAGGTGGGAAATGCCATATCCTTTCTAGTGATCATCATGATAAACCATGAAATTTTATTTCTTCCCAGCCCTTCAGGTGAGACAGAAAGATGCTATGAGTATCAGAATGTCTAGTTATGGCAATACAATAACAACTATAGATGAGCCTTCACATAGTCTGATCATTTTCATTCTTGTGATTTATCGCATGATATTGATATATAAACAATCTCTCAAGAGAAAATACCACTAAACACTTGCAGATTTGAGAGTCATTCAACTGGGACTCAATATGGTGCTCCATCTTTTTAAAATGTGCTATCCTGCCCCTTCAAAGCCTTGCACTTACTTCATCTAGCGAAGGTATGAAGGCTGCATATATTATGCCAGGCCCTAGATGGGAGTAGTAACAGAATAATTGGGAGGGAGTAGAGCTCCCTCCTAGGTCTGAAACCACTTCCCCACCCTAACCTCATGTAAAAACTATACTACTAAACATATTTATGAGAAATGGTTTATATAAATTATATTTGAACATGACTGTATTCACACCTTCTATAAACTGTGAACAAAGTCAACATTTTACCCAGGGTATATATGTCAACACTACCCTTGGTAATACGAGTAATGTGTGACATCAAGAGGGCTGTAGTAATGGCAGACCATAAGTTGAATATTCGAAAAATTTTGGGGAGTTTTCATGTTTGAATTGTAATATATACCTCAGAGCAGGTGTGATATTGACAATGACCCCTTAGGGCTAGGTACAAAAGCTTTCGAACCCCTCACTCCCTTGCATAGCCATGTGGAGTGTATAATAGAAGTATAGATGACGTATAGATGACAGTGATCTTCCAAGCATTAAAGCAAGTGGGTGCAGTACCCACCTGAGGTTTTGAAAATAGGTTTGCACCCACCTGAAAATCCATATGCACCCACTTGAAAGTTAGAGAAATCATGAAAAATTGGCATATTTTGACCAATTTTGGTCTAAATTGTGAAAATGAAAATTTTGTACCCACCTAAGAAGAAATCCTGGGGAGATCACTGAATGATCTTAAAACTCAAGTTGACCTCTGTTTGTAGAGAATGAACCATATACTGTTGTTGGGGAGATTCCCACTTTTGATCACTTATGTAATTGTTTGGTCTTGGATACTTACCTATCATGTTTATTGTAATATCCTATATATTGAGATGAATATGAAGAAGACCTAGAATATGTACATGTTCCTTAGTAAATCCAGAACGAAGTATTATGAGCCCCCTTCCAGTTTCTATTACTAGCCCCCCCCCTCTCTCTCTCAACCTGCCTCTCATGCAATAACTATTAAACTCAGATGTCACTGGTCAGTATCGAGCGATGGTATATGCCATATAAGCCTGGTTTAGTTCAAATATCAAAGTATTACACCGACTATAAAGAAGTTTAAGTCAATGAAAACTATAAATATCTTCTCAACTGACACCAGTGAGATGTACATTATTTACCTGAAATGGTTGATATTAAGTATAATCAAAGAAGTATAAATGATAAATATATATATATCTTGAAAATTCTACTTAAATCCTGTATTTATAGAGAATGGAAATCATCTACTATTATGAAGGTGATGATGCGTACTTTTGATCACTTATGTAATGGTATGGTCTTTGACACCAATCATGTAAAATGTAGTACCTATATATTGTAATGAAAATGAAGAAGACCCAGAAGATGTAACTTTTGAAAATCCAGAACTATATAAATGACAATTATACTAAGGCTGATTAGCTCTGCCCCCTCAAAATTCTGTTACTACCACCATGGGCTTTGAAAGCCCATGCTACCACCCGCCCCCCCCCCCTCCGCTCCCATGCAACAACTTTTACACTTATATGTACATTATTTACCAGAAATGCATGATATTAAGTATATTTAAAGAACTTCAATATAAATGTATCTCAAAAGTCAAGTTAAACTCTGTCTAATTCAGAGAATGGTAATCATTTACTATTATGGGGGCGACGCCCACTTTTGATCACTTATGTAGTAGTATGGTCTTTGACACTTACCAATTATATAAATTGCAATATCCTTTATGCTTAAACAAATGCTTGAACTTCCCTGGCCATTTTGGGTGTGCTAAAATATTCTTATATCTGTTGATTTGAAAAATAATCCTCATTCTATATTATGTCCCTTTACAGGTTTGGCCAAAATTAAGGATTTTTCAATGAAAATTGTGGTTTCCATGGCAACCATGAGTGACAGGTGATTGAACCTTAACATACTACCTCAGCATGATCCAATCAACTCCCCATAAAATTATTATGATGATTGAAGACCAACTGAAGGATTTATTCAATGATGATAAAGTACCCCCTGTAATTTTCCATTTTAGGGTCGAAAACGCCAATTTGACAACTTTCGCCCCGGATACGGCGCGTCAGACAAACATTTTCTGAAGTATCACATAAAAATACATAAGAAACAAGTAATTTCAATTTGTTCACGAACTAATACATTTTTGGGTGCTAGCTTACTACCTATAAAGTGTGGCTTTCATACGGTAAGATACACTGTAGCATTAATATCTCTAAATCAAGTAAAGTGGTTTGAGTACAACTTTAAGATTTTTATTTTTCTATATATGGTCTTTTTGTGAATTTCAGTCAAGTAAAAATATTTATTTAATCATTAGAACTTTTTGATTTAGCGCCAGAATAACTTGGCACACAGCATGATTGTCAAAACTGTCATGACCTCAAAACGTGTGCAAAAATAACATTTCAGAGGTGGACAGTTTTATCTTAATGAATTGTGTTTGTGCGGAAATATCACAAGCTTTGTAGTCAAAATAAAAAGAGATATTATTTGTGCTAAATACAAGCTAATAAGAGATTCCAAAATTGGTTTTTTGTAACTTTAAAAAACTTCACATACATGTACACTTCTAGTCTGATCACTGCAAGCTTAGCAGTTATTGGTTCAATACTTCACATAAACTGTACCTGTAGTCAGCTTGTTCGTAGCAGCAAAATAGAATTAAATTGATGTATCCATTATCACATACCAATAATGGATTCATCAATTCATACCTTTTTCTCGGCTGTATTCATCCAGTCTGAAAATAGTTTCTCTCGTATCGACTTGTGTTCTTTTAGAATTTCAAAGGATTCATTTCCAAAGTATCTTAGCCATGGAAACATGTCTAATTCAGCCCCTAGCCCTCCTGAGCCACATCTCTCCATGCTTTTTACCAGGTCACACACCAGTTGGAACTCATGAGAACTTTTATCAATTTGTTCTCCAACAAGCTAAAATTAAATGGTAATTCATTTGATATGTATAATGTGCACAATGGTATTTTTTGCTCTCTCTTGGCTTCATATATTGATTCTGAAACAAACTACTGTAAACAATTAGAATATTCAAGAATTTCATGACATATGTTATATTTCAAACTTTTACACATCAACTGTCCCTTTAAAGGAATATTCCTTGCCAAACCATCTCTCTCCTCATATGGTAGCTATAACCATATATATGCTTGCCATGTTTAGCAAAACACGCAAAAATGTTTTGATATGGTCAAATTTGATCACTTAGAAATGTGATGCTCAATTCCAGTAAGCTGCCATCTTTTAAAATTTTAAACAGGAAGTGATGTCATCGACTCTCAACTTTGCATATAGCATTAGGTGAGGAGCTATTAAGAATTACAAAACCAGCTAAATATTCTTTTTCAACTTTGTATCATATTTAATCCTTCTGAAAATCTCTTCTTTTATTCTAAGTTGACAAGCCCTTAAAATATTTTTGCACAGAAAGTAATGATCACTTGTCTAGAAGTGATTTTGTGCTACTTTCCTATACTGTTATGGGCAAGGTTATAGAAGTTGAGAGTTGATGACATCACTTCCTGCAAGAAATCTTAAAAGATGGCAGCTCACTGGAAATAAGCACTAGATTTTTAAATGATCAATATTGACCACATTAAAACATTTTCCCATGTTTTGATAAATATGGAAACTATATATATGATTATAGCTACCATATCAAGAGAGAAAGGGTCTGGCAAGGAATATTCCTTTAATTCAGTTTATTTTTGATAGATTTACCATGTTATATGTGAGATATGTCTTTAAATGCCTCTGTTTTCTAAAGTTTAAAATGCAAGTTAGGAGGCAATAAAGGCGATGTTCTACTCACCAGAACTGTCATAATATTTGTTATGCATTGATCCACAGACTCCCTTGGGTCAAATGGAGTGTTACCGTGACTTTGAAATCTTGAAATACAGTCCTGGATTTCATCTGATGCTAAAATTGCTATTCTGTCCATGCCATCTCCAAACTGCTTGAGTCCCCGGTGAGCTATTTTCTTTACTCTCTTCAAATCTTGTGATAAGTCTCGGAAGGTTATATCTTTGTCACCGCCAGGGGTTACAAAGTTTATCCTCCATGAGAAAGGACGTCCAGCAAAATCCTCAGATTTTTCCAACAGCGCTTCTCTCATGACATCATTCTCACTCAACACAACAATCTCTTCATTAAACATTTGGATTTTGAAAACATTTCCATGTCGTTTGCTCCATTCATGTAACTGAACATACGGAGTTTGTGAAATCATTTGAAAAGCATTACCAATGACTGGTAATCCCCTTGGTCCTGGAATGTCCAATCTTTTCCAAACCCTTTTCTGTATTATCCACAATAAAATGAGAGAAAAAATGAATAGCACTGCTGGCAACATTTTGAATGATTTCAACTTCCAACTCACACTTGTTCAATCTTGAGAAACAACCATGTATATATTAAAGGGGTGGTATACAATTATACGAGGGTCATTCAAAATTGTTGACATTTTTTGCTTATCAGAGAGTTAATGTTTTGTTAAAATTGTTTTAGTGTTTCTGACTCATTGAAAGTACAACTGACATATTTGAACCAGACAGCTTCAGGAAAATTTGTAAATGGCAACTATTTTGGCAACAAATTCCAAATTGTTACTAAGAATAGCTTATATTATGCAGCACAAGTATTAACACCTACACAAATGAATGCAACATGTTAAATGTAAATAGGTCATTATACAATAACTAACTTAGTATACCAACCCTAATATGTTGTAATGGTGGTTTACACATTATATGAGTGGACATTTGATGATTCGAAATTTCAACACTTTTTTTAACAACCCTCATATGTGTTTTTTATTATACGTGTTATTTTTGATTTATCTTTTTGTCATGTTCTATCATATTTCGGTGAGTTTGACACAGTCGAGTATTAGAGGTCACTTGAGATGTTGAAATCAAGATAATTTGTGTCACTCCATTTAGGTCTTATACAACTTACATTGCTTTTTATGTCAAGTGGTGACATATTTCTATAGTCTGTAAAATTTCTATGGATGACATTTGGTGTTTGGTAGTAGTTAATGTTTTTCATTTGATGTGTGTGCCATTTTGCATGTAAATGACGTTAATGCCTTGAAATTATGTTGTTGTCAAAAATACACTGAAGGATTAGCTGTTTGAGTTTTGAGACATAGAATAGATTTTAAAAAGGACAAATGTATTGTTTCAGTTGCATTCATCTGCTTCTTGTCTTACCAAATCTCACAGCCATAGCATAAAGTAGAGGTCTTGGGTTCAAACCCAGGTCACAGCGCTTCTTGTGATTTGTCTTTGACCTATGACTGCTGACCTATACCGGCGATTACTAGAGTGCTGCTAACTCGATAAAAGGCTGGCGCTGGCTAGAATTGTCTATGGTTCCAGCCAGGATAAAGATACCAGTTCTTCAACTTGACAATGGGAAGAACTGCTCTACCTAAGTGACTAATATGTCATGTTATGACATCTAAAGAGTCGATAAAAGATATATATATATTGGACTGACTAATGCAGGCCCGTAGCCACGATTTGCCAAGGGGGGTTCACCTTTTGGAAAATTCCAGGGGGTCACTTTTGACAATTATGGTCCAAAAATGGCCAAAATCACTTAAAGAGTGCTCATAATGGTGAAAAACTGCATGATTTTGAAGGAATTTTTGGTCAGGGGGGGGGGGTTCGCTCGAACCCATCAACCCCCCTGGCTACGGGCCTGTGATGAATACAAAATGCTCATCAAACATTGCAGATGCAAATGGCACAAAATTCGAGCTGCTAGGTGGATTTGCTGAACAGTGCTGACATTTTTGCCTTAACATTTGACACATGTTTTCTGCAATGGTTGATGAGCATTTTGTATTAATCTTGTCTAGATAGTAATTCAGGAGTCCTCATGATATCTCGTCTTCCAGGTTTCAAGAATCTTTGTATTTCTGATTGCCAATACATGCGAAAAACTTTTGAACTTTTTAGAAGAACTTTATTTTACAAAAATGTGGTTAAACGGGGATTTAAGCTTAAAGATTTAGAATTTGTACGAGTTATACAAATGGCAAGTATTTTGAAATTATGTCTCGTATTTGTCAAATTATATGAGTGGGGATCTGAACTGGTGTACATATCTCACCAATCTTGACAATCAAATTGATTAGGATAGGGTCCTGAAGTTCAAATTTTGAATCATTTAATAATTTTTTTAATTTCATTTTCCTAAATAGTGAATTTATAGTTTTCATAACTATGTAAGAATAAGAATGCCATCTATTTTTCTCTCTAAGATTAAATCACAATTATAAAACAAATAACTATGATCAGTACTTTATCTCATCCTACTTGAACTTAATGAAAATAAAAGATCATTTTTAACTTTAATTTGTAGCTTTGTGTAAAATGTATCTGTTATGTTTGAACCTATCAAAGATATACACTTAAATAACATGTTACGTAGGAGAAACAATGTTAGATTTAAGATAGGAGTGAAGCATTGAGGTTTTTTGAAACTTCACAAAAGATAAATATAGTACAGTATATAGCATAATTAAATTATGAGCAAGATATGAGGGAAACGAGTGGCAAAATAATAAGGCCCATCTGAACGAAACGAAACTTGATCAAAAACTTTATTTCACATAAAATCAATATAAAACCTTTGTGATGAAATCATGTTTCTCTGAAAAGGGGTTCTCTCATGTCAAGTAGATAGAAATTTCCAAAGTAAAGTGCACTTCTGAACATTTTTGGTTTTTTTTATTTCAGAACATGAGGAACCATTGATTGTTTTTTGTGTTATATTATTGTGTATAACATACCTAATGAAGCATTTTTATGCAAGCCAATAGGAAAGTTAGTGGGCTATATTGACCCATATTGCCGATTACCACGATGCCCCATTATAAATTGTTTTGATATTAGATAACTTATTTAAAATAACCATGACAATATCATGACATCATGTTTCATTTCAGTCAGATTCTACTCGCACATGTAGATGTGTGACGTCATTGATACAAAGTAGCCATTAGGATAATTGTATGTAATACATGTACATCAGCTATGTCACTATGAAGTGAAATTTGCCTTCGTTCTTGCCCAAATATAGAGCCTCTCTAGTCTCAAGGTCTGCTTATATTGGGAGAACTCAGGTATATTTCACGTAAAAGTGACATGACCTCTAAAATGTTCAGTAGATATCTGAATGTCTGTTATAGTGGGGTGTTATTTATGCAAACATGAATAACTGAAGCCTGTCTCATGCTATAGCGTTTATTTTCTACTTTCCCTGTCTTTGACAAAAATGTTGAATGGGCCAGGTTGAATTGCTATTGCGTAGGTGAATTTTGTTGGGTCTGGATCCGGCGGGTTGTTTTTATCTTCAGGGAAAATCTCCAGTCTTTGTAGTAGACTAGTGACAAACAGGAACATTCTCACTTTGGCCATTGCTTCTCCTAAACACTCTCGCTTACCAACTCCAAATGGTAGAAATCTATTGAAAAAGCACAAAGGGCAACAATAACAAAAAAACAATCAAATCCAATCCAATTGCTCGATACATTTTGTCGTATAGCAGATAGAATAAAGGACCTCATATGGAATTTTTGGAAAAATGGTAAAACTGTACTGTACACACATTGTAACATGTCACAATATAATACAAACCTATCTAAAGAAATCTAATATTTATCAATAAATGGTAGAACATATACTCTGTTTTATATATGCGTGTACATGTAACATGACTTAATACGATTGAAATCTCTATAAACAAATTTTGTTGTCGTAATAAAATGTAGAAGCCCATTCAAAATCATCAGAAAATGGTGGAAGTTATACTGCGCAAACAATACTGTAATATGTTAATATGTACATGCATGACTTACGATTTTCTTTCATTTCCCGGAAGCAAATTACCATCATCATCTAAGAATCTTTCCACTTTAAACTCATATGGCTCATCAAAGTACTTCTCATCATGATGTAATGCCCAGATGTTCATCCAAACCTTGTCAAAAAGTAGAATACATGTAAATGTAACATGGTTTTTTGGCGCATGGTTCATAGAAGGGAATCTATTCGTACTATGTACACAAATAGAGGTGAAAATATCTGTCTATCATTAATTAGCTGAGATAAGCTACTCATTGCCTCAAAGGTTGGGGAGCAAGCAAGAACATTGGCCATATGACAGCTAGTGACAGCTGATCTTCTCAGAAGAACTTGGGTTAATATCTCAAATACAGTCATGTGGCATAGTATTGCTAGAATCCATTTTCAGTAGTAAGAATAGGGGTTCTCAGACATGTCAAACAGGACATTAAAGCTTAACTGAAGCCTTTTTGAATTTTTTGCTTAGTACTACAAGATCAAAATATATAAGCACAAATGCCAAAAAGGAAAGGGTGACTAACTTTAAGGAAACCCAACAAGAAAAGCATACTGTAAGTGTAAATCTGTCATAAGAAAAGTAGACCCTATATATCCCAAAACCATGATCTAACGTGAAAAGAAACAATGTCTAACATCCCCCTCCCCCCTCCAATCGAGAAACCAATATCACAATCCAGGACCAGAACACCAAGAGACATTTCATTCATACTGAAGTCATTACAATACATGTTGAAGAAAAATTGAAAAATTGATAGCCAATACTCATAACATCAAAAATAGTTTTAGATACTAGTACTCATAAAAGATAGAGTATTCAGTCTCAAATGATGTGGGATAGATAAAATCCAGTCTCGAAGTCCATAGGCAATTCAAAGGGTCAACATCCGTTTGCAAAGCCATCATCATAATCTATAAAACACAACAATTCACAATGGTCATCAGGAGAAAACTATGGCTGGTTTCGATCCCTATTTCTCAACCATTAATGCCATAGCCGGGATCCACCTCAAAAGGTGCCAAGTGAAAAAATTGTGAGTTCATTGCCAATTTTTTATACCATTCCTACATTCTTCAGCATCTCCAGTGGTAAAATTTGAAATTAATGAATTATATTTTTCAGCAAAGCCCAGAAAGGATTTCTTAAAGCTGGACTTTGCCCCGAAACGCGCACAATCTTGGGTTGTTTTGGGGGTGAACTTTATCATTTTGAGCTTAATGAAAGATAGAATGATGAACAAATGGGGCAAATCTTGTGTAGAAATACTTACGATAAATGAGTCATTTCAAAGATTTTCCATTGAATTGCTTCGATCGGAGCCGGCGATATGATTTTGGAAAGGTTTCTAAATGAAGAACGTGACGTCACTTCCGAATCATAGCATTCGAAATAAGTAGCGTTTAATTACTCCCATCATTCATTATGACACGGTGGTCTAGCGGTAGAATGCTCGCTCAGCATGCGGGAGGCCCGGGTTCGAATCCCGAATTAGCCTTTTTATTTTTTTAAAAATAAATGATTGTTCTTTGATATTACGCAGAAAAAAAACAATTTTTATTTATATAAACTTTATATTAGAGCTTGAAAATGTAAAAACAATATATGTCAACATTTTGGAGCGATGTGCAGGTTTAAGTTTTTACAAGTTTAACCTTATCCTAACAGCTTGGTCACTAAAATATGGTGTCTTGATTTGAAATCTAGATATTTTAAACACGCCCTGCTATATCTAATAAGCTGGGATACATAAACTCCATATGCTGGATATATATAGAGATTATCCTATATGAGGTTCAGGATATTGGGATTATCCCGAGGCTAATATATTTGCCCGAGGGCCGCAGGTCCAGAGGGAAAATATATTATATTGGCCAAGGGATAATCCCAATATCCTGAACCGACTATAGGATAATATGTTTATTCCATACCAATCTTGGTCATCTGGTTCACATTGTTCAATCGTGGAAATATTTTAGAATATTCATGTCCAGTTTTTTTTTCTTGGCCGTGAGCGGATTTTCCTGTCCTGTCAAATATTCCCATATTTATTTTCTCGAATTTTTAATTGATAAAGTGGATGCTGCTTCCCTTTTTTAAACCATCAAACAGATCCCAATTGTCTGTGTTTTCTCCATTGTCGTTTACAGTCATTATGCGAACATAACAAATTATGAACAAATATGCGAGCAATATGCGATATACTAAATCTGCCCGCTCGGAGCGTGACGTAAAGCTATATCTGCCTGCTGATGAAAATATGTTTTCACAAACTGGCTTTATGTACCTGTAACAGGTCCAAGTATGGGATAAATATAAAAATATACCCATATAAATATATTGTGTATTAAGTGATTGACCCCATTATGATTTGTCTGATTTTATTCATATATTGTATATTTTTTGATTCAATAAGTAGAAGAAAAACATGAATCAAAATGAAGCCCCTTTATTTTTATTAATGTAATTATCCCATCGAACGAAGTTCGGAGGGATATAGGGAACGCCTCTGTCCGTCCGTCCATCCGTCTGTCCGTCCGTCCGTCTGTCCATCAGTCCGTCCGTCCGTCCATCCGTCCGTCCGTCCATCCTTCCGGCCAATAACTCAAATACCGTTGGACTGATTTTGTTCATATTTTGTACACATATACCCTATTGGGGTAGAAATTCTGCTCGAAAGCCGATTTTCAAAATGGCCACTCATTTCAAAATGGCGGCCATTTTAGTGCCGAATTTACAGTAATTTAGGTGCAATATGTAAAACTGTAATAGCAATATGTTTTAGATGTAAAAAAATTATATAGGACATTAATAAAGCTAGAAATGTAGATATTAAAGAAGCACATGGCAGCCATCTTGAAAAATGGCGGCCTTTACTCGTTATTTTACGATTTTTGCTGTAACTCGAAAAGTAGTGGAGCAATTTTGTTCATATTTGGTATATGAATACTATAAACATTGCACACTGTCTTTTGAAAAATGGCCGCCATTTTAACCTATTTTACTATAACTCGAAAAGTAGTGAAGCGATTTTGTTCATATTTGGTATGTGAATACTAAAAGCATGACACACTATCCTATGACACTTTTAGTAGAAGGCGGCCATTTTGAAAATTTTTTTGAAAAATGGCAGCCATTTTAATGTATTTTATAATAATTATCCCAACGAACGAAGTTCGGTAGGGATACGAAGTTCGGTAGGGATATAGTGAAGCCCTCCGTCCATCCGTCAGTCAGTTAGTCCTTCCGTCCGTCCGTCTGTCCGTCCGGAAGATAACTCAAATATAAGTTGACAGATTTTCTTCATATTCAGCGGAAAGATGTATATTGGTGAATAGTTTTACGCAAAAAAAAACTTTTTCAAGATGGCTGCCGCTTTAAAAATGACGGGACTTATTCGCAAAAATCATAAATTTTTCATTCTAAACCAAAGTAATAAATATTATTGTTTGAAATTTTGGTAGTATATTTGCAACATCTATCTATTTCATATATATTCTGTGTTTTTCATCCTGACCCCCAGGGGCCATATATGGGGGGTCAGGAAAACAGAAATTTTCGCTTATTTTTAGATCTTTCTTAAGTATAGATTTATTATACTCAAATTAAAGGCAATTAAGAGTAGATTGCAAATATTGTATCTTTTTTTCTGATTCGAGCCTCGTAAAATTCAAAATGGCCGTCTAATGTACGATTTCGCAATAATTTTTCGATCCCTTCAAAGTATGGCTATATTATACTCAAATTTTGGAGTAGATCACAATTATGGTATTATTTTTCAGATTTGTACCTCAGAAAATTCAAAATGGCTGCTTTGCAGGAATTCGCAATTCTAAAATCTAAATTTTTCAATTTTAACCAAAGTAATGAGTATAATTGATTGGAATTCGGTAATTGATATTTTGTTTGTTGGGATTTGCTACTCAGCAGAGTTGCCGTTATCTAGTTCGAAAAGTAGTGAAGCGATTTTGTTCATATTTGGTATGTGAATACCGTAAGCATGGCACACTGTCTAATGACACTTTTGGTAGAAGGCAGCCATTTTTCAAAATGGCCACCATTTTAACGTATTTTACTATAACTCGAAAAGTAGTGGAGCGATTTTGTTCATATTTGGTATGTGAATACTATAAGTATGGCAAATGGTCTAATGACACTTTTGGTAGAAGACGGCCATTTTGAAAAATGCCTGCCATTTTTGCTATATACTTTGTTTGTAAAAATGCCATCCATGGCTGTTCGATGGGATTCGCTACGCTTTGGCGTTTCCGTTGTTCTGGTTTAATTTACTCTTACCTGTGTACCACTTGGAACTTTGTAGTCCCCCACACTGGTATCACAAAGGGTTTTATGTGGAATAGACAATGTGGCAATTGTAGAGTAGCGTAGAATTTCTAAAATGGCAGCTTCTGTATAAGGCATGTTATGCCTATCTGCGAAAGTTGATAGGCGACCATCACCGATGACATCATCAATTTCAGCTTGTATTTTTGTCTGGACATCAGAATGGTTGATGAGAATCATCAACAATGATTTTAAAGTTGATGATGTTGTCACAATACCTAATGTTGGAAAATACAAATGCAATTCAGTGTTCTATTGCATATTCAGGGCCAGTGTTTTATCGAACATTGTACGTTCATTAGTCTATAATACTCTACATTAAACTAAGAATGTTTGAGCAAAAGTATTTAAATCAGATGTTATACAGATATTTCTTTTGTCTACCATAATGCCAGAAGGGCAAGTAAAATATGACCCTGTTTAAGTGCTACACTTATTCACCAAGAATAGAAAAATTGAAATAGATAAGTTACCAGCAACAAGAATATCGAACAGAGTTCCATGTATTTCATCCTGGCTGATTTCTCCTTGTTTGTAATGCTGGTGCAAAACTTCACATACACTTCTAGTCTCATCACTGTACAAGCTTAACTGTGAAATAGGATGAACATGTCTTATGTGTTATGTTAGTGCAAAACTTCACATATACTTCTAGTCTCATCACTGTGCAAGCTTAGCTGTAAAATAAAATGAACATGTCTTATGTGAAATGCTTGTGCAAAACTTCACATACACTTCTAGTCTCATCACTGTGCAAGCTCAGCTGTAAAATAAAATGAACATGTCTTATTTGTTATGCTAGTGCGAAACTTCACATACACTACTAGTCTCATCACTGTGCAAGCTTAGCTGTGAAATAAAATGAACATGTCTTATTTGTTATGCTAGTGCAAAACTTCACATACACTACTAGTCTCATCACTATGCAAGCTTAGCTGTAAAATAAAATGAACATGTCTTATGTGAAATGCTTGTGCAAAACTTAACATACACTTCTAGTCTCATCACTGTGCAAGCTTAGCTGTAAAATAAAATGAACATGTCTTATTTGTTATGCTAGTGCAAAACTTCACATACACTTCTAGTCTCATCACTGTGCAAGCTTAGCTGTGAAATAAAATGAACATGTATTATGTGTTACACTAATACAAAATTTAACATACACTTCTAGTCTCATCATTGTACAAGCTTAACAGTTGTAAGTTCAATACTTCACATATACTCATTTTGTAAGTGACATAATGTAATGAAATTAATTTGTCCATTATTGGATACCAATAAATAGCTCATCAATTCATACCTTTTTCTCCGCTCTTTTCATCCAGGCTGAAAATAGTTTCTCTCTTATCGACTTGTGTTCTTTGAGAATTTCAAAGGATTCATTTCCAAAGTATCTTAGCCATGGAAACATGTCTAATTCAGCACCTGGCCCAGCTGCGCCACATCTCTCCATGCTTTTTATTAGGTCACACACCAGTTGGAACTCATGAGAACTTTTATCCATTTGTTCTCCCACAAGCTTAAATTAAATGGTAATTCATTTGATATGTATAATGTACACACTGGTATTTTGTGATCTCTCTTGGCTTCATATATTGATTTTGAAACAAACTACCATAAACAATTAGAATATTCAAGAATTTCATGACATGTGTTATATTTCAATCTTTTACACATCAACTGTCCCTTTAATTCAGTTTATTTTTGATAGATTTACCATGTTATATGTGAGATATGTCTTTAAATGCATCTGTTTTCTAAAGTTTAAAATGCAAGTTACTGGAGGCAATAAAGATGATGTTCTACTCACCAGACCTGTCATAATATTTGTTATGCATTGATCCACAGACTCCCTTGGGTCAAATGGAGTGTTACCGTGACTTTGAAATCTTGAAATACAGTCCTGGATTTCATCAGATGCTAAAATTGCTATTCTGTCCATGCCATCTCCAAACTGTTTGAGTCCTCGATGAGCTATCTTTTTTACTCTCTTCAAATCTTGTGATAAGTCTCGGAAGGTAATGTCTTTGTCACCGCCAGGGGTTACGTAGTTTATCCTCCATGAGAACGGACGTCCAGCAAAATCATCAGATTTTTCCAACAGCGCTTCTCTCATGACATCATTTTCACTTAACACAACAATCTCTTCATTAAACATTTGGATTTTGAAAACATTTCCATGTCGTTTGCTCCATTCATGTAACTGAACATACGGAGTTTGTGAAATCATTTGAAAAGCATTACCAATGACTGGTAATCCCCTTGGTCCTGGAATGTCCAATCTTTTCCAAACCCTTTTCTGTATTATCCACAATAAAATGAGAGAAAGAATGAATAGTACTGCTGGCAACATTTTGAATGATTTCAACTTCCAACTCACTCTTGTTCAATCTTGAGAAACAACCATGTATATATTAAATGGGTGGTATACAATTATACGAGGGTCATTCAAAATTGTTGACATTTTTGCTTATCAGAGAGTTAATGTTTTGTTAAAATTGTTTTAGTGTTTCTGACTCATTGAAAGTACAACTGACATATTTGAACCAGACAGCTTCAGGAAAATTTGTAAATGGCAACTATTTTGGCAACAAATTCCAAATTGTTACTAAGAATAGCTTATATTATGCAGCACAAGTATTAACACCTACACAAATGAATGCAACATGTTAAATGTAAATAGGTCATTATACAATAACTAACTTAGTATACCAACCCTAATATGGTGTACTGGTGGTTTACACATTATATGAGTGGACATTTGATGATTCGAAATTTCAACACTTTTTTTAACAACCCTCATATGTGTTTTTTATTATACGTGTTATTTTTGATTTATCTTTTTGTCATGTTCTATCATATTTAGGTGAGTTTGACACAGTCGAGTATTTGAGCTCCCTACACTCGAGAAATGTTAAATTGATTAACCTTGTTGAATTTTCATTGTATGAAATTAAATGTTATAATATATGAACTTGAAATAAAAAAATGATTAATAGAAAAAAAAACACTCGAGCCATTGAAATCAAGATAATTTGTGTCACTCCATTCAGGTCTTATACAGCTTACATTGCTTTTTATGTCAAGTGGTGACATATTTTTATAGTCTGTAAAATTTATATGGATGACATTTGGAGTTTGGTAGTAGTTAATGTTTTTCATTTGATGTCTGTGCCATTTTGCACGTAAATGACGTTAATGCCTTGAAATTATGTTGTTGTCAAAAATACACTGAAGGATTAGCTGTTTGAGTTTTGAGACATAGAATAGATTTTAAAAAGGACAAATGTATTGTTTCAGTTGCATTCATCTGCTTCTTGTCTTACCAAATCTCACAGCCATAGCATAAAGTAGAGGTCTTGGGTTCAAACCCACGTCACAGCGCTTCTTGTGATTTGTCTTTGACCTATGACTGCTGACCTATACCGGCAATTACTAGAGTGCTGCTAACTCGATAAAAGGCTAGCGCTGGCTAGAATTGTCTATGGTTCCAGCCAGGATAAAGATACCAGTTCTTCAACTCGACAATGGGAAGAACTGCTCTACCTAAGTGACTAATATGTCATGTTATGACATCTAAAGAGTCGATAAAAGATATATATATATTGGACTGACTAATGCAGGCCCGTAGCCACGATTTGCCAAGGGGGGTTCACCTTTTGGAAAATTCCAGGGGGGTCACTTTTGACAATTTTGGTCCAAAAATGGCCAAAATCACTTAAAGAGTGCTCATAATGGTGAAAAACTGCATGATTTTGAAAGAATTTTTGGTCAGGGGGGGGGGGGGTTTGCTCGAACCCATCAACCCCCCTGGCTACGGGCCTGTGATGAATACAAAATGCTCATCAACCATTGCAGATGCAAATGGCACAAAATTCGAGCTGCTAGGTGGATTTGCTGAACAGTGCTGACATTTTTGCCTTAACATTTGACACATGTTTTCTGCAATGGTTGATGAGCATTTTGTATTAATCTTGTCTAGATAGTATTCCAGGAGTCCTCATGATAGCTCGTATTCCAGGTTTGAAGAATCTTTGTATTTCTGATTGCCAATACATCCGAAAAACTTTTGAACTTTTTAGAAGAACTTTATTTTACTAAAATGTGGTTAAACGGGGATTTAAGCTTAAAGATTTAGAATTTGTACGAGTTATACAAATGGCAAGTATTTTGAAATTATGTCTCGTATTTGTCAAATTATATGAGTGGGGATCTGAACTGGTGTACATATCTCACCAATCTTGACAATCAAATTGATTAGGATAGGGTCCTGAAGTTCAAATTTTGAATCATTTAATTTTTTAAATTTCATTTTCCTAAATCAAGGAGGATTGGCTCCCAGAGTGCAACATCGATATTCTGTCCCATATATGGGCATGTCGTGCTACAAAATTTGAATTCCAACAGCCGCCATTTTGTTCACTTCAACATTTGAATCGTAAATTTTGGTCTTATTTCCTAACGAAAAATTCCTAAACTCACAGGAAATGATCGAGATATTGGTTCGAATCTTTTGAACTGTTTATTTTGAATTTATAATCGATTATAATTTCAGAAAATAACGACATCTCGGCGTTTTCATTGTTGGAAAATATCGACTTCGATTCTGGGAGCCAATCCTCCTTGTTCCTAAATAGTACTCTAAGAGCGAGGAGGAAAATTCTTAATAAATGGAGTATAGTTGGTTTGGCAGCATTTTCAGTTAGAGGGAAGTCTTGGATGAAAATTCTACCTAGGTGATAGCTTCACAGAGTGGTACATAATTCTTTTTTTTCAGGGGTTAGCCCCCCACCCCCCAAAAACACCCCACCCCCTGGAAAATATTTTTTTCATTCTCAATTATTTTAGATATCTTGATGTTTGTAAGTTACATACATAGACATTATATATATGAATCATTTTCAAAATAAATAATGCCAATCACTCCTACAGAATTTGGAAAATACTACAAAGTATGTTCCCCAGGGGGCAAATTCGTGACACATTTTTTTACTCTTTAGAGCCTCACTTTTCAATCAGACACTGGAAGACATTGAAAAATTTCATGTGAATTGCCTAGTAGCAGGGCTATAAGCCCTGAAAGGTTCAAACTAATTGAATAAGTAGGAGCTGAGAAAAAAATTGTTGATTTTTTGAAAAATTTGACATTTTTGAGAGGGGTGATTTTGTGTATGACTATAGCTGATGTCTATGGCTTCCAGATCTATCCCTCTTTGATGATAAATATGGTTTAGAAGTATGGAACTAAGATGTAAAAAATAATTAAAATGGGTTTTAAGGAAGTATCATGTTTTAAACAAGTTTAAAATTCGAAGAATTGTACAATATCAGGTCTGAATTTACAAATTTTAGGTAAGACCTTGGATGAGCCGTAGATTTTTTACATCTGTCCCCCTTTGATGATATTTATGGTTTTGTAGTATGAAACTAAGATGTACAAAATAATTTAGATGGTTTTTAAGAAGGTTTAAGAATTTTAACAAGTTCAAAATTTGAAGAATTGTACAATATCAGGTCTGAATTTATGAATTTCAGGTAAGA